ATATATATACACACACACACACACACACACACACACATATATTGGAGCAAGTAAAGAGTTTCCGAATATCTCCATCTCATTGAGTTTTATTCTGTTTTATGATCTCAAACTACCTTGAAAGCCTGGTGCTGTTTAAATACAAACTATATATTTAAGTTAGGACATTTGTGAGAGCATATTCATTGGTGGTGTTCCTTGAGGGTATGGAAGAAAACTGACTTGCCCTGAAAAATGAGAAAATAAAGAGAATCGTGCACCTTTCTTGGAGAATGAGACTTTAAAACTGCCAGAATCAAGAGATTCCTCAGCTTACTCTTTTTTCTTTCATTCATAAGGGCATGTTTCAAAGATTTACAACAGTAGGATTCAAATATTTTTAAAGACTTTGGGAAGATGGCCCCCCCTCTTTTTTTGCATATAAGGTTTTTAAAAGTATGTGCTTGTATTTCGGCCATCCCACTCCCACCCCTTAATAACTAGAGTCATAATTTCCAGTTTGAGAGGCATTTTTAACTGATCCAAAGTCTTAATCGTGTTATTTTATGGGTCAAGCCTTGCAAAAATTTTAATCTACCCCCACCCACCCCTTTTTAAACTACTGGGTTTTCAACCCAGGACCTTAGCACTGAACTACACCAAAGCTTTTTTTTTTTTTTTTAAGAAAGGGTTTTGCTCAGTTGCTCAGACTGAGCTAGAATTTGGAGTCCTCCTGTTTTCACCTCTCAGAATACTGAGATAATAGGTTTGCGCTACCACACCAAGCGATACATTTTCTTTAAAGAAAACTAAACTTTTCTAGTTTAAAAAAGGAGAGAGGAGAGGGGAGGGGCATGGGGAGTAAAAAGGATCAAGATGTTGTCTATAAATTTAGCTAGATATGGTAGCACGCATAATTCTAGCATTTCCAGTTTAGACAGTAGGATTGCTGTGAGTTTGAGGTCTGCCTAGCCTGTATCATGAGTTACAGGTCAACTTGAACTACCTAGTGAGAACCTATCTTAAAAAAAAAAAGTTCTGTGTAAATGTACAAAACCGCAGGATAATTGTATTCTTTATATGCCACAAATATGTGCTACTCCTACTACTACCAATAAAAATATCCCTAAAAGAGCATTTTAAAAAGATTTCTCTTTAAAAAGCTATTTTTTCCAAAGGAAAAAACCTTCCAATAGTAAGCAGAATTGCCGAACCTAAAATAGGGATTGAAATTTAGCAACAGACTTCACTGGGATATTTAAAGTAAGTCAAAGAATGGGCTATAAATGTCTTTCTTTCATCATTAACTTGCTAATTATAGCCAGTATTCTGCTACTGCAAGATTAATCTTGAATATTTACAGCATCCATACTTTGGTTTCAGAAAAATATTCTGGAGTAGACCTTTGTATTTTGTTTATGGGGTCAGTGGTTAGGTGACGGCTAAAGGAAATTGTTTTTCAGACTTCCTAATCCTTATCCATCTAAAAGGTACTACCATTCTAAAAGGTACTACCATTGTATGCCTTAGGAAAAAAAGGCATCATTCTAAAAAGTGCTACTATTGTATGCCTTAGAAATAAGCTCTTTTAGCTACTAGGAAGTTCACTAAAATTTTTTTTCTTTTCTCTGAAACTAGGAATTTGTATAGGTCTGGGTTACTTTTTGATGATCTAAATTAGAAGCATAATTCAGCTTTCTGGATTCTTGTATGAGAAAGAGGAGAAGTTTTGGTAGTGCAGTCAGGTTAGGAAAGCCTGGATAATCTTTCATGATTGCATGTTAACGTGGACATTTCAAATAACCTTTTGGAGCCTTTGCTAATTTGTAAAAGAAGCAGTTAGGGTCACCAGTCCTAATATTCTTAAAATTTGGTGACTGCACAGAACTAGAGCCAGAAACAGAAACTATGTGTTCACTGATAAATCATGATCTTCATGATACTGCATTGTTTGCTTGTCTAGCTCCGGGCTTGCTAGTGAGCTCCTTGAAATGCAGCTTTGGTCATTTTGATGTTGCCAGAGCATAAATCCTTACACAGAGAAGATGCTCAGTAATTATGGAACTGAAGAAAGCCTCAGGAGGCATGGTTGTTTTTCATCCACACTGAAGAGGCCAGGGTGATGGTGTTTTTTTAAGGGTAAGAGCATGTGGAGAGGAGCAAATGCCTGAGCATAACTCCGTGTAAGAAGAGAAGCAGGATTCAACTCTGCTGTTTCTATTTTTACAGAATTATTTTTCTCCGTTTATGCTAAAAAAATTTTTTCTGTTGATTTGAACTTCTTTTATCCAACTTTTGATTCCTCTTCCAACCTAATCAATGAATCCATTTCATTGGTTGCTAAATATTCTGTATTACCTCCCTCATCAAGCAAACAGTACTACAGAATGAACTCCGAAATCTGCTGACTCAACATGCAGGTTCTCATCCCTAGTATTTACTCCCAAGTAATTTATTAAATTGCTTCTCCTTTTTTTTTTTTTTTTTTTTTAAACCAGGGATCGAACTCAGGTCCTTGCGCTTGCAAGGCAGGCATTAGAACCACTGAACTAAATCCCTGGCCTATACTTCTCCTTTTTTGGGTGGATGCTTTGAGCTCAGACTTACCTGTAAGTGGAGTATTTTCTTTAATTAAAAAAGAAGAAGAAGAAGCAGCTAGTATTTAGGCATAGCGAGTGTTTACTTATTTTATCTGGAAAGCTCTTACAGATAGTAATCACCCTTACTTAATACGCAGGTAATACATAGAATGATCCCTTTTCTAAAGGTGAGGGAGTGGAGGCTCACAGAGAACCATAACTGGTCCAGAGTAACTGGTGAGGTGGGATTTTACTGTAGTTCTGCCTGGTTTCCTGGCCTCTTGGCTCCGCTTTCCCTCTGCATCTCACCAGTCTTTTTCTTTTTTTTTTTTTTTTTTTTGGTACCGGGGATCAGACTCGGGTCCTTGCGCTTGCGAGGCAGGCCACCGAACCGCTGAGTTAAATCCCCGGCCCTCTCACCAGTCTTATTTGGACAACTTCAGCAATGACTTGTTGGAAATGTGCAATATAGTTTATTTTAAAGGAACTTAAAAGTGTCTTAGGGAAGAAAGTAAGAAATTACTTTTATGAATTGCTCAAAGGAAATTTCTTTGCCAGTAAGTATTCATGACTCAAAATTTATGAAAGAAACGATTTTTAATTTATTTTTTATTATGTAGATTATACAGTCACATAGTTAAAATTTTAAGAAGCTATATGGTGAAAACTCCTTTTCATTCTGTCCCCTTCCAGTGAACTTTTTATTGGTTTCTTGGGTATCCTTGCATATATTCTTTATATATAAGCAAATACCAATATGGAGGCATGGCTTTTTACAGTGGTATCTTGAAAATAAACTACCTCTAAAATTGATCCGTATGAGTGAGCATGCCTGGTGAGCTTACAGTAATTGTAAGATAGTAGAACATGGCATATTTCTCTCCAGTGGTTTTTTTCTAGTGGTGCTGTCAAGGTATCTTTTCATCAGAGCCTGTAAATACAGTTTTAACCCTTGTGAAAATGCTTCTGGTCATAAATGAATTAATAAAAATGCTTAGTATTCTTCTTTAAATAGTTATTTTCAGATGAGAAATTAATAATGTCTTAGTTACTTTTCTCATTGCTGGTACAAAATACCTGACACCAAAAGTTAAAGGAGGAAAAGTTTATTTAGCTCACATTTGTTTCTATTTTCTTTTTTTAATTAAATTTTATTTTATTCCTCTTCTCCCCCCTTAAGCCCCCTCCCCTCCCTGTGTACAAAAGCTTTGTTTCCATGTTTTTTCTTCTCTTTTTATTTTTTCTTCTTTCTTCCTATCTCCCTTCCTTCTCCCTACTTCCCCTTCCCATTTGAACACTTTCTCCCCATTTCCCAACATCCATTATATATTTCAGTCCTTATTTCTATTTTTGATTTCTTACACCAGTGAAACAATGTGGTATTTAACACGTGTGTCCAGTTTATTTCACTTAAGAGTATGGTCTCAAGGTCCATCCATTTAGCTATAAATATCTGAAGCTCAGCCATTGTGGTAGAGTAGTATTCCATTGTATTTAAAAAAAAAGCACATCTTCTTTATCCACTCTTCAGTTGATAGGCATGTGGGCTATTTCCAAGATTTGGGTATTACACAGTATGCTGCTATACACATGGGTGTGCATATATCATTGTGGTATGATGGTTTTAATACTTTCAAGAAGATACCAGGAAGAGAAGTAGCTGGGTCAGATGGAACCATTAGTTTTAGTTTTTTGCGGAATCGCCTCCCTGATTTCCACAATGGTTGCATCAATCTACACTCCCACCAAAAGGAGAAGGGTTCCTTTTTTCCCTGCAGCCCTTCCAGCATTTGTTATTGGTTGATTTCTTGATAGCAGCCATTCTTTCTGGAGTGAAATAGAATCTCAGAGTTGTTTTATTTGCATTTCACGAATGACCAGTGATGTTGAATATTTTTTCATATATTTATTTGTCATGTGTAATTCTTCATCTGAGAAGTGTCTTCATTTCAGATGCCTGTTTTTGCATTGGGTCTTTATTTGGGGGGGTTTTATTTTTTTTTTTTTTTTTTTTTAGTTGTTGTGTATTCTAGATAATAGTCCTTTATCTGAATAGCTGGTTAAAAAAAAAATTTCCCAGTCTGTGGCTTGTCTCTTCACTCTGTTGGTGGTTTTTCTCACTGTGCAAAAGCTTTTTAATAAGATAAGGTCCCAGTTGTTGATTCTTTATAGTATTTCCCGTGCAGTCTGCATTTTGTTTGTGAAGTCTTTGCCTACTCCTATGTCCTCAAGTGTTCTCCCTCTTCTCTCTTCCAGCAGATTTAGTGTTTCTGTTTTAATATTTAGATCTTTGATCCATTTTGATTTTAGAGTAGTTAGCTCACAGTTTGTAGAAATTGCAGTCCATAATGGCTGCCTCCCAGGCAGGGCAGCATTGCAGAAGAGAAACAGTTCATGGCAGGCAGAAGGTAGCAAAGCAAAAGGTTCAATCACAGGTTTTTCTGTCCCTTATATCTTCCAGGCTACTTAGAGTGGATAGCACTTGTACCTTTAATCCTAGTGCTTTTGAGTCTAGCATCGCATCATGAATTGGTTCCAGCATCACACACTCTAGATCCCATTCACCTCTGGAAAAAAAGCCCACATAATGACCCATGAGGTTTTGGGGAAGGACATCTAAACACAAGCCATAACATAGTTTGAGTCTTTTATCTTCATCTCTAACCCTTAGGGTTTTTATTTGACTTTGAAGTATTTGGGTTTTTTAATTGCATTCTGAACATCAGAATGAAAATTGCTATTTGTTTACTTTCAGATGCCTGTCTTAGATGTCAAGCTGAAAATAAACAAGAGGATTGTGTTGGTATGTTGTAATTTCTTTCTCTGGCTTTTTCAGCTGAAGGTTTTTCTCTGAGTGGGAATGTTTGAATTTGCAATTAAGACTGACTTTATCAATACATAAAAATAAACTGTAAAGCAGTGATCCATTATTAATATAAAATTATTGGTTCTCAAAAGGCCTTAATAATGACTCTGCAAGCCCTTTTATTGCTATAATTAAGGATTGGATAACTATCCCATAGTAAAGATTAGTATGGCCATATTAAACATATAGTAATCAAAAAGAAATAATTATCAGGCTGGGGATTTAACTCAGTGGTTCCAGCGCCTACCTTGCAAGTGCAAGGGCCCAAGTTCAGTCCCTGGTACACACACCCCCACACCAAAATCCTATTTAAAAAAATAAAGTAATTTGTCAAAAATGTTGCTTTTTTTTTTTTTTTTTGAGACAGTCTGTGTAGTCCTGGTTAGCCTTGAGCACACTATTCAAATTCATGTCCATCTTCATAACTCAGCCTCCCGGTTGCTGGGATTTCAGGTGTGCGCCACTACACTCAGCTTTTTTTTTTTTTTATTGAGTTTATTGGTACAGTTTAGGTATACAGTACAGTTACATTCATCATTGGGATTCTGTACCTTTACATGATTAGTCTTGATTCTCGTTTTTCCCCCTTGTCCCTGCCCTCCCTTCACCCCCTCCTTCCCTCCCCATTTGCAAACACTTTATTTCCATTTTTTTCAATTTCTCATATCCCTTTCCTCTCCCTTATTACCTTTCCCCACCCTTCCCACTTTCTCTACACCTTTAGCCCTTTACTTCCTATTTCACATTATTAATTATCTCATTAGGATCATGTGTACTATTATAGTGTCTCACACCAGAGAAACTATTCGGTATTTCAGTTAAAGAAATCTCTGTATGAACATTAAAAATAGGGAATCCTAAAATAAAACTAAAAAGGAAAGTAAAAGAGAACAGGCAATGATGTAAGATTAAAATACTCCTTAATTCTAAAGATGAAAATGGTCCCTGAACATATTTAAATTGCTTCTTGCTCTTGTAGTCTTATCTTATTCTTTTTTTCATTATTTAGAGAATAGTTTATTCACTCAGCTTTAAATATGAGTTTTAAAAAAGCACTTTTTCAATACTCTTTTTCAATATCTTATTTTAGATACAGTATCTAAAAGAGAAAAGTTCTAAGTCAGGTTTTATTTTAGGAATATAGTTTATATATGTTGAAATCTGTCAAATTCTCTTTATAAGTTTAGACTATGAAAATTATCTTAGGCTAGTTACTTTAAGCATTTCAAAGATTTTTATGTCTTAGTTCCTGGGGTGATCACTTTTAGATTGCTTTTTACAGTGCCTGTAGATTTTTCGTAAGTAGTTTGTTCTCTTTTTTCTCCGTGTTTCTTTTTTTTTCTTTTTCATTTAGTCTTACTCTTGTCATGTCACTCAGTATGGGTCAAGGAAGGGACAAATGAAGTCCAGTTGGAAATTGCATTATTTTATATTGTGGATGATTTTCCTTGGTTTAAAGTTTTTCATGTTACTTGTTTTAAAAATATTAATTAGGAATTGTGAAGATCACTTTCTTTGATCATAGAGAGACACACCTCCTCAGCCAAAAATTTCATTTTTTGTCACATGAAAAATTGTACTACTTGTGGATAACTAAGCAGAATTCATCACTTCTAGGAAATGGCTAACTAGAAGCATGTCCTCTTTATAATAACTAAGTATGAATTGAAAATCTTTAGAACTCATTATATCTTGGTAAATATAAAAACCAGGAGGATATTTTTCAATAAAGTAAAGCTCAAAAGATGGCTACGGTCAGTGCACATGACTGAGAAGGTCTGGGATCTAAGGAAGATGCAAGTCCTTTAATTTCCTGACTTCAAGAAGACAGCATGTGGAGCTGTTTAGGAACTAGCGGTCAATGGATCACCCACAGGTTATCAAACAGAGATGGAAAGTAACAAACAAAAAGTGACTTACTTTTTAAGTATAACTTTCATGTATAAGTTTATATTTTTTTGTAGATAGAAAAAATACTTTGACAGAAGGTTCATCTTTGTTCAACATTATGAACCATAACTTTTATTCACAATATAAAATTAATTTTGAGCTTGGTAATTTCAATCGAAATGTCATGTAACTTTTCTTTTTCTTTCTTTCAGTGGTCTGGGGAGAATGCAATCATTCCTTCCACAACTGCTGCATGTCCCTGTGGGTGAAACAGAACAATCGCTGCCCTCTCTGTCAGCAGGACTGGGTGGTCCAAAGAATCGGCAAATGAGAGTAGTGGAGGCTTTCTTATTGCATTTGTTCACAAGCCTGGTAGATCTTGCTGTCAAGTGCCTAACAAAGGCTCAAATACTCAAGGGGATTACTTTTTCACCTAGAAGGCGGTGGATCTGTGGTCTTCGGGGACACATCAGAGGCATGGTTTAGCATTTTGTCAACTTAATTTTCAGGATTCTCTACAATTAAGATAATTTATTAAAGGTGGTCTTTCCTACCACTGTGGTGTGTATCATATACACTGCTTGGAAGTTCTGTAAAAAAGAAGAAAAGTCCAAACCAAATGACCTTTATAATTTACCTATCACTATACAAGGGGCTGTAGAACAAGTTCTATTTGTAGGAGAACTTTTTGCATGCTTACAGTTGATCAGATAAAAAGAGAGTGTTATAGTAACAAATAAAGTGCAGTTTTAAACCCAACTCTTATCTTCAGTTTGTTCTTAATATTTATTTTTGGTGGGAAGAGCAGCGATTCCTTGACATCTTTATTGGATATATTGAGAATTTTAATTTTGGACCAGTGAAGAGGGTAAATAAAATTTAACTTTCAGGTATATGGGATTTTGATTGTTTTTGAAATTATTCTCTATCTTTGTCTCATCAAGAAATTTTAGATCTGTATTCATCTCCCTGTTAAATCATTGAGTATTAAAGGACAGGTATTTTCTAGTTCTGGAAAAATTACGTTGTGTATATTTTTGGTAACATATTAATGAAGGAAATGTTTATGTGTATTGGGTCACAGAGTTTATCGTGCAATGCTTTAATAAATGACCTCTTACAGTTATAATTGTATGTACAACTTTAAACTTTAATAAACTAATTTATCAAGTAAATTCATATACTCTTTAATTTGGCAGTAAAACTTAAAAAGTTTATTGCCTGGCAATATTAAGTGAAAAAAAATATTCCTATCAAATTCATTCGTGTTTAAAAGAGGTCATTTCCCTTCAAATTATGGACCATGGGGTCATTTTGAATTCTTTTGTAATAGAGGTTACCAACAGGCATTTAAAAGAGCAGAAACCTTAAAATCTTTACTTCACATCTGCAGATTCAGGGCTTAGCTTTCTGAATCTTTAAATCTAAGTGTTGTGGATGTGTAAAAGAATATTTTTAAGTAATAATTTGAATAAAATTAGATTTTGCATTTTTTTTATATGGGCTCTATTCAGTGTCTGGAAGAAATCTTTTCAAAATTTTCTAGCTACTAAAAAAGTTAAAATGCACAATCATGTCCGGTTGTTTGAATGTGTTTATTATTGCACAATGAACTATTTTAGTAGCTTTCAGTTTGACCTTTTTAAAGAATTGCATCCATAAAATGAGCCAAATATTTGGTTTTGCAGTGAGGTGGGAGGTAGTCTGAGTGTCGGGTTACTCAGGTCACTATGACAGTATTTAAATGAAATCTGGGGGATGGTTGCAGTAAGTTGATTTTCCACAGGGCAAAACCAGTCCCACTACCTAACAAAGCCCTGTTTATATTCTGCATCAGCATCTGAGGGTGGAAGAGGAGGAGGGATGGGACTGAGCAGTACTGACCCCATCCTGTGATCCCAACTCATCTGCAGCGACATCTGAAAGTCTGGTACATACTGTTCCATCTAAAAAAACATGCTGTGACGTTTATTTGTGGGTTCTAACAAACATTAAGCATTGAACAGGTTTGTTGGTGTTTTTTTCTATTTGATTAAATGAGGTTGAAGGTTATTTAATTGTATATTTGTAAATTTCAATTTTAAGTTATAAATTTCATGTGAATATGAAAGTTAGGTTCTAAAGGATATTGATCTGTGTTTCATTATATGAGACTGTGATCACGAGACACCACACTTTCCTGGCTTCCACCCACTCAGAACAGTACCATTCGTATTTGTACCATCTCGAAAAGCCCTCACATTTCCAAAACATCTGCAGGACACCCTTGGCTTTGGAGGGAGGAAGGTGGAGTAGTCTTAAGTGCTCAGAATATTTACTATAAACTTACTGCCAGTCTCCCAGAAGCACCTCAAAATGACACGGGTATGAAATAACTTTTGGGGATTGAGCTGGGCAGCCCTGAGCTATATGCCCAGTACTTCTGTTTTTATTTTGAGACAGGGTCTAAGATGCCCAGGCTACCTTTGAACTTGCAGTTCTTCTGCCTCAGTCTCCCAAGAAGCTGAGATAACTGGTAAGCTCCACTAAACCAAGCATGAAACTACCCTTTTATAAGGAATGAGAGCATCAATTCTTATTTTTTGTTTTTTTTTTGTTTTGTTTTTTGGTGGGTTTTTTTCATGCAGGGGATTGAACCCAGGCCCTCATGCATTTTAAGCATGGGCTCTACCCCTGAGCTATACCTCTAGCCTAGGCTTTCAATTTTGAGTGCTTGCTGTTCTAAAAAAGTCTGTAGAGCCAAACCTTGCTGATCTGTGTGTACTCTAGAAGGTGAACAACTTTTGAATTAGAGGTATAATCCATTACAAAATGAGGTTGTAAGATTCACTTGGCAAAGACTCCTAGGCCTAAAGAGTAAGTTCAAGGTTGTTTTTTTAATTGAAGCTAGTGTAAATAGATTTACATTCTGAAAAACATATTCTTTCAAAGTTTGGTGGATATTTGATATTACAGAAAACACTAGATATTTGGATATGAGGGAAATGAATTAAAGTATAACATTTTAAATTTTAAGCTATAAACATTTAAATGAAAGCAAAAATACATGAAAATGTCTGCCTGGAAGTTGATTTTTTACCAATGTTCATATTCCCTTTCTGCCATGGTTAGCTTTTGCTCAACAAATATTCTAACTGGCAGGGAAAATATTTTCTTTGCATTTTGATGCTCTTATTAATCAAGAGCTGAAACTCAGTAGCCTGGTGTGAATTTGGGTGAGTTACTTCCCTATTTCGTAACTCTGCCTCCTTGTGTATGGTGTAACTAATTCTTATCTCTAATTTATTTTGAGGGTTGAGGAATAAGTGAATAAACTCAGAATTGTATTTAGTACATGGTAAGTGCTACTGTTACGTTTTCATTTTAGTCACTTCTGGAAGGTCCTTTTGATGTAGGACACCAAGTAATCCAAATAAGGGAAATATAACTCCCGACCTGCTCGATACCTCAAACACTGAGTTCATGTTCTCTGAAATCAAAGAATGAATTCTTTGAATCAAAGAAGAATTTATTGAGAGAAAAGTAGTTGTTTCTGTCTAAGAGAGACAAGGGGGACCAGAAAGAGGGTTGCCCACCCACCCCACTTCTCAAAAATGTTTCATTGGGCAAAGCCATGTAGTGAGGTGGGTATGAGGTGGGACAAAAGTATAATCAACTAATAAGATGACAAGTATCGTCACCTAGGTAATATTGATCTAACGGGAAACCATGAGGTAGGACAGAACTGATCATCCAGTAAGATTACAAGTATACTCACTTAGGAAATATTGATCAGGTGGGGAAGCTGGTCACATAGCAAGCATCCATGGACCGTAGCAAGCAGTGTGCATGGACTGAACAAGGATTTCCCTGGAAGGAATGGGCTAGGGAGGCTTTGGTCCCCAGTTAAGGTGACTGATGTCTATATAGAATATCAATCACTGCTCTTCATCCCTAGGGCAAGTATGTGGCTGTGATAGTTCTTCCTTTTTAAATCTGGCCCTTTTAGTAAATGTGTCTCTGTTGTTTTCTGTGCTGTGCCTAACTGCCTTATAATATTTTCTAGCTAGCTTAGGTGTCTACAGTGTTTCCCTCTCTGAAGAAGTATCCCTAACTGCAGTTAGAGGAGAAGGGACATACTGCTTCAAGCTGAGAATGGTTCATGTAAGGGAGACTGCAGTGAGGGCTTCTCTCCAGAGAGAGCTTAATCTAATGGCCCTTAGATAGGTTACATTATAGTTTAACAGTTATGAATTTTGTTTGCAAGGTCATTCTGGTGGATCTTGGTAAAAGGAATCAAGCTCATTTTGTGGTGGTTCCATCTGCGTGATTGCTTTCTTTTTAAGAAAGTAGAGAATGTATAATCAAAGCATGAGCACTAGAATGGAAAAGCAGGTTGGGGAAAGAGCCATGTTTGGAAACTGTTCTTAAGGGACTGAAACAGTGATTGTAGCTCACTGGCTGTTAGACCCCTTTATTGATGGAGGTTATCCCTAAGTCTGATATCTTGTCATTAGTCTGTAGTGTTTTGGTGGTTTTGAAGGACAATTTTAGCTTAGACAGGCTGGGGATTTAGCTCAGTGGTGCTGCCACCTGCCTCATAAGTAAGTGCAATGTCCCGAGTCTGATCCCCGGTACAAAAAAAACAATTTTAGCTAAGAAATTTAAAAACTCGTTGAGCTCTTACACATTTTACCATAGTTTTTTGTTTTTTTTTTTAATGACACATAACAGTGATCAGTTACCAGTATAGCTGGAAACTACCAAAAAAAGATCAGCAGTCGGAGCCCTTTTTTTTATCTTGTTTTGTCACGCGCCATTATTTCCGGGTTCTTCATGCCCTACATAAATTCCGGGTTTGAGTCCGCCAGTGACGGTGGTTTGCGCATGCGCAGATGAGGCGCTTGGCTCGTCAGAATGATGCAGGCTGGCATTGACCAATAGAAACAGGCCACGACGCCCGAGTGGATATAAAAGCAGGCTTGCATCCGGCTCGGGGTCTTTCCGCCATTTTGAAGAATGTAGAAGAAACTCCAATAAAGCGTGCATCAGAAGAATCCTGAGTGTTGCGTGCTCCTTGCTGGCGAGGTGCGCGCGACAAGTGGTGCCGAAACCCGGGAGGCGACGACCATCATCGCCGGCATCAGCGGAGACCCCTGACTTCAGGAGGATTCAGAACTGAGACGCAGGAGGGGAGGATCCACCAACTTTCCGAGAGGTACGCTGTCTGGTGTGGGCGGGTGTTTCAATTTGTTCACTCCAAAAGGTTTAAACTGGCCGTAAATCAAAGGTAGATAACTTTGTCGGTCGCCCACTCTCGTAGATAAGGGAGAAATGGGCAATTCAACTTCACAATCACTGGTTTATGCTTTACAAAGCCTTTTGAAGGAAAGGGAGTTAAAAATATCAGAGCAGGTTTTAAGGAGGTTTTTAAAGGAAGTGGATCAAGCGGCGCCCTGGTTCAGCGGTACCGGGTCACTCACGATCCCATCCTGGGAAAAATTAGGAAAAGACCTCCAGCGAGAGAAAGATAAGAATACCTTAAGACCGGGGGTTTTACCAGTGTGGAAGATGATTAGAGCCTGTTTGGAGGATAAACGCTGCAATGATAAGGTGCGGGAGGGACAAAAATTGTTCAGGGAGCATCAAGACAGTGTATCAGAAACGGAGAGGGAAGAAAGAAGTAAGTCTAGACAAAAACGGAGAACAACGGGAGCTCAAGAAGAAGGGAGCCAAATTTCCGGCCCTATTGAGGCCTCAACGGGCCTCTACCCTGCCCTAGATGAACTAAAAAGATTAACATTAGCAGAAAAGGAAAGTAATTCGGAGGGCTCCTCGGAGGACTCCGAGACCGCGTCGGAGTCCTCAGGGGAGCCGCCCGAAAAAGAGGAAGTAGTAAGATAATTC